TGACACAGCTCCTGAGGGAGCACAGGGTGTGACACAGCCCCTGAGGGGGCACAGGGGTGTGACACAGCTCCTGAGGGGGCACAGGGGTGTGACACAGCTCCTGAGGGGGCACAGGGGTGTGACACAGCTCCTGAGGGAGCACAGGGTGTGATATGGCTCTGAGGGAGCCCAGGGTGTGACACAGCTCCTGAGGGAGCACAGGGTGTGACACAGCTCCTGAGGGGGCACAGGGTGTGACACAGCTCCTGAGGGAGCACAGGGTGTGACACAGCTCCTGAGGGAGCACAGGGTGTGACATGGCCCCTGAGGGAGCACAGGGCTGTGCCATGGCCCCTGAGGGAGCACAGGGTGTGACACAGCTCCTGAGGGAGCACAGGGTGTGACATGGCCCCTGAGGGAGCCCAGGGTGTGACACAGCCCCTGAGGGAGCACAGGGGTGTGACACAGCCCCTGAGGGAGCACAGGGTGTGATATGGCTCCTGAGGGAGCACAGGGGTGTGACACAGCTCCTGAGGGGGCACAGGGGTGTGATATGGCTCCTGAGGGGGCACAGGGGTGTGATATGGCCCCTGAGGGGGCACAGGGTGTGACCTGGTTCCCTCCCTGTGTGCAGAAGGCCCCGGTGTGGGAGATCACGGGGGCCGAGTTCTCCAAGGCCGACGGGATCTCCATCCGCTTCCCGCGCTGCACGCGCATCCGCGATGACAAGGACTGGCAGACAGCCACCAACCTGCAGCAGCTCAAGGTGGGTCAGCAGGAGCCCTGCAGCTCCTGGCACCAGGCTGAGCTTCAGCAGATCACAGCATCCACTGAAGGCACCTCCTGCCTGTCGTGGCACCTTCCCTTTTCCCTTCGTGCCAGGCTCGGGCTGGGTTGTTCTGCTGGAGGCTCTCAGGTCCCTTGAGCTGTTGTGTTGCGGTGCCCTGTCAGAGAAGTCTCTGCAGGCATTGGTTCTGTCAGCTCCTGTGGCAGGGTGAGGAATTGCCTTCCTCAGAGGTGACCACAGAATCACAGAATGAACTGTGTTGGAAAAGATATTTTGAGATCATCAAGCCCAAACTATGACCTAACACCTCCTCAGCAGCTAAACCATGGCACTGAGTGCCAGGTCCAGGCTTTTGGACAGTGACTCCAGCACCTCCTTGGGCAGCCCTTTTTTCTCTCCATGCTCACTCAGTTTCCCATCACTTGCTGAGGCTGGGAGAGGCATTTGGGAAGTGCCTGTGGGTACCCTGGGGCACAGGGGCCAAGTGGCACTGGCCAGAACCCCTGGGCTGCAGCCACCTCAATGCCAGCCTCGGGGGAGCTCTGTGCTGCAGTCTGGGGCTGGCAGCAGCTGCCAGGGCTGCTGTGCCATGGAAAGCAGGAGTGATGCAGCCCCAGGGCCTGCCAGGATCCCATGGGGAGGAGAGAGGAACAAACCCCTCTGCAGATGGGCCCTTCCCACAGTCAGACTGGGCACTGCTCATCCTTCAGGCTCTTGCTCTGTTGCAGATGATGTGGATGTGGCTTTAGCTCCACCTTAATGCCAGGAGAGGGGTGGAATGCAGGGAGCTGGGACAGCTGGGACAGGAAAATGACTGCAGAGGGGTGCAGGAAGAAAATGCTTTTGAGCAAACACTGCAGGGGGAGAACACCAGAGCAGTCTGTGCATCACAGCTCATCTCCAGTGTCAGACATGATCTGTGCTGTTTCTCTGGGCAGGAGCTGTACCAGCTCTCCAAGGAGAAGGCTGATTTCAGTGTTACAGCTGGGGAGGAAGATGAGTCCACAGCTGGCAGCAGTGGAGAGAATGATGGCAATTCCAGGTCTTCCACACCTCACAGCAGTATTAAGAGTCCCCCAAGCAAGTCACCTGCAAAAGCCCAGAAGGCAGAAGGTAAGGTGATGGTGCTTTCAGGAGGGAGCCTGGGGCTGTGTCCTCTGAGTCCTTGCCTTCTGTTAGAGGCTTGATGATCCCACCTTTCTCATGGATCTCAGGGATAATGGGAAAATCTGTTCAGATCCTTGGTTTGGCCCTGTAGGAATGGAGTAGCCACAGCTCTGAGATGTCCTGGGTTGGGAAAAGAGGGATGGAAACAGCTCTGGTGATGCTGTGCAGGGTGGTGTTCACTGCTCCCGTTTGTGCAGGTCACAGCCCTCTGGTGTGAGAGTGTTGGCCACGAGCCAGTGTTTGATTTGATTTGGATGGAACTCGTGTGTGTAAAGGGACACGTGGCTGCAGGTGATTTCCTGGTGAATTGAGCTGGAACATGAAGCAGATTGCTGAGCAGTGTCACAGAGGACAGAGAGGTGGCAGCAGCAGCCTGGGAATGGGGCAGGAGGCTGCCCCACACCATTTCCAGTAGAAAAATGGGTCTCACTAGTGAGAGTAGTTAATGGATTTTCCAGAAAGAGGAGAGAAAACTTTCCCCTTCTGCTCTTTACTCTTTCCCCCAACATTAATACACAACCACTATCTGGACAGAGCACGTGCATGAACTAAATTTTTGTTTTCAGACAGCAAAGGAGTCACTGAATCCCCTCAAAAATCCGAGGAGAGACGAGGGGAGAAGAGAAAAGCATCTGAGATGGAGGACAATGGAAAAAAGGTACAGACAGCAGCCATGGTAGGATGGGAGGAGGCTGGGGCAGCTGGGGTCTGTTCACTTCCATTCCAAGGAAAGCCTGTCTGCAGCAGTGTTCACAGAGGTCCCAGGACGAGGGAAGAGATGAGAATCTTGACTCCATGTTCAGAAGGCTGATTTATTATTTTATGATATATATATTAAAAGAAAACTTTATATTAAAACTATACTAAAATAATAGAAGAAAGGATTTCATCAGAAGGCTGTCAAGGAATAGAAAAGGAATGATAACAAAATCTTGTGACTGACAAGAGAGTCTGAGCCAGCTGGACTGTGATTGGCCGTTAATTAAAAACAACCACAGGAGACCAATCACAGATGCACCTGTTGCATTCCACAGCAGCAGATAATTTTTGTTTACATTTCGTTTCTGAGGCCTCTCAGCTTCTCAGGAGAAAAGATTTTTCATAAAATATGTCCGTGACACCTGTTCACTTCTATTACAAGGAATTCCTGTGTTCCATTCCAAGGAATGCCTGTGTCAATTCCCATTCCAATGTCTGTGTGCATTTCCATTCCAAGGAATGCCTGTGTCCATCCCCATTCCAATGTCTGTGTCCATTCCCATTCCAAGGAATGTCTGTGTGCATTCCCATTCCAAGGAATGTTTCCCCAAGCTGTGTTTCTCCCCCAGCAGCCCCTGCTGGACATTTTCACGGGGGTGAAGCTGTACCTGGCGCCCTCGGTGCCGGACTTTGCACGGATCCGCCGCTACTTCATCGCCTTCGACGGGGACCTGGTGGAGGAGTTCGACACGGCCTCGGCCACCCACGTGCTCGGTGGGGACATTGATGACAACCCCGGGGCGCAGCGGGTGACGCCCAGGTGGATCTGGGAGTGCATCAGGAAGCGCAGGCTGGTGGCGCCGTGCTAGCACACCCAGCTGGGAATGGGGAGGGGAGGGAACGGGAGATCCCTCCCTCCGTGGAGGGGTGGATAGACAGGAAGTGCCCTCAGTAGCTACAGAGATCCAGAGCAGCCCTATGGAATGAATTTAAAAAGTTCTCTGAAGAAATGTCACTGCTGAATCCCATTTTCCTGCCCGTACTTGTAGACCACCACCCTCATCCAGGTGCTGGTTTAGTCTCCTTGGATTTTTAAAGATTGGGTATTTTTATAGATAAATAAAACTGAAGCAGCTTCTCCTTTGCTGTCAGGACTTATTTTCCAAAGGTTCTTCTCTTCCTGCTCAGGAGAACAGAGCCGCAGCTCCATGGGACTCTTGGCTGTGCTGCCAAGGTCATTTGTGCTGTCAGGTAATTTTTTCTCCTCTGTACCCCCCACTAACAGCATTTCAGCACCTGGGATCCCAATTTCTGGCTGAGGTTCAGCAGTAGCTGTAGGATCTCTGCTTGTAACAGATTCAGAAACAAAGATAACAACTAAATCACAATTCAACTTTATTACAAAATTATAAACCAAACTTCTGTACCAAAACTAGTAAGTTGAACTGTCATAGTACCAGAGGATTTAATAGTGAATAACATGCCCTTTCAAGTAGAATATTAAGTTTTAAAATCTTTAAACAATGTACAGTGTACATAAAGCACATAAATATTTCCATTTACTTTATTAGTTCAGAACATTATATTCCTTTGGATCATTAATCAGTTTCCTCCAGGTTTTGATTTTCCTTTAAAAACAACTCACTCATATCCATAAGTAAAGAATCCATTTTTACAAGGGAAACAAGAAGAGTCCTCCCTTCACAAAGCACATTTTGGAGTCACAGGGTGGGTGGATCTTCTCATCCCTAAAATGTCAGGCATTGATCTGCAGCTTGATTTGACTGCTGTAGACAATAAGCCTACCCTGTACAAGGAAAAGTACATCTATCCATAGGGGAATCATCATCTTCCTGCTAAATTCCCCCAGCCCTGAGTTTACTGAAAAATATGACAACATGAATTTTCACAGTGGATTTCCTAAATGAGGCTGTTCAGCACATTGTGTATTCCTGCAGCTCTTGGAGCTCCCCGTGCTCTCTGCAGAGCAAACAGAGTCACTCCTTAGCTGCCCTTTTCTCTGCACTGACTTGTTCACTGTGTTCTCCTGCTGGATCTGTTACACCTTAAAGATGAAAGAACAGCCTGACCTGGGACAGAGGTAGGGCTCAGAATGCTGAGTGCAGTCAAGCTGCAGTTCTGTGGAGTTCTGAGATCCCCTCAGTGAGACATCCCTGGCTCTCCTGCTGCCCCCTGAGCCATGGATGTCCCACCCCAGGTGCTGCTTTGGCTGCAGCTCCCAGAGCAGACCCTGCACTCAGTGTCCCTGTGCAGGGCACACGGGTGCCTGTGCTGCTGCCATCCCTGCCCAGGAGCTCTGGGGAGTCCCTGCAGTGCCCCAGGAGCCCCCCTGGCTCTGCTGCTCTCTGCTGGCAGCCAGGCTGGGCACACAGAGCAGCCTGGGCACAGTGCCATCCATGCTGAGGGACACCGAGGGCAGCACTGGAGCCCTGGCTGCCTGCAGGCCACTGAGGGGAAATGACACCAGTTAAAATCACCTCCAGAAGGAACTGCCAGACTCCTCTTCCAGCTGAACACACTGCCCAGGAGCTGTCAGGGATCAGGCCACAGCCTCTCCCCATCCTCCCCAGCAGAAAGGACAAAACTGCTTTGGTAAGCAGTGGAAGGTAACAGACCTGTAAAACTGAGCCCTGGGGAGGATGGGGAAGCTGATCTGCAGTGGAGATTGCTCATGGAGCCAAGGGGGACAAAGGCTTTCTTCCATGATTCCCTTCTAAAAAAAGAAAAAGTCACCTGTACTTAAATATGATTGTGTAGCAGTGGAGTCCTCACTGCTCTGCAGCTCTGTGCTTTCCTCACCAAACCCTGGGGAAGGCTCAAGCCTTGGATTTGTAGCTCCCTCAGCAGGTGGGGACAGTTCACTTTGAGCCCCACCTCTGGCACGTGCTGTGAAATCAAAGTCACAAAATCAAACCAGAAACCTCCCTCTGGCACAGAAACAAAAACCCAGGACACAGGGCAAGGCTGAGCCTTCCCAGCCTCCCTCCCCAGCAGTTTTCAATAATACAAAGACAACCTTGATAAAAAATTACACATTTTCCACAATTGCACTAGGAATTAGGGAAAGCAGGGATGGTCTGCCTGTCCTGCAAGCATAACAATTTAACATTAAATTAAAAATAAAATTAACAAGCACAGTGACATTTCAACCTTCGCAAATCAAGTTGTTGCTGGGCAGAGCCTGAGCAACAAAACAAAGGACACTTTTTCAGACCCCAGTTCACTTTTATTATTCAGAGGAAACTACAAAGCCTCTGGAGCTGATCTTCCTGGTGGAAAGCTGGGCATCCATCTGTCCTCAAATTATCCTAGGATGGAGGTGGTTAATGATTGCTGGCAATGAGCTCCGAGGAGTCCAGGCACTGTGGTGTAAAGCACGATGGTGGGATGAGCAGAGCCGGGCACGGCTTGAGCAGAGCACTTTCCCCAGGCTTCCTCCTTGGCTCTCTGGCAGCAGGGTCGCGCTGATCTCCAGGGTAGCTGTTGGCAGGGATGTTGGCCCTTTCCCTAAGAGCACGGAGGCTTTAAGGCACGGCAGCGCCGAGCCCAGAGCCGCGCTAAGTCCTGAAGACGTGCACGGCGCGGATCACGTACTGCCGGCAGATGGGGCACTCGCTCATGCGCTTCCCGCACTTGGTGCACGTCACCATGTGCCCGCACTCCAGCAGCACGCAGTCGATGGCAGCGTCCATGCAGATCCTGCACAGGTTGTCCTCGGTGCTGGGGGGCCCAGCACCACCTGAGGGGACAGCACAGCACCCACGGGTCAGACAAAGGGAGGGGGGGTGGGTTTGTGCAATCCCACTTGGCTCTGCTGGAGGGATTCCCTAAGGGACAAAGGGATTGCCCTTGTGGCTGCTCCATCAGCTGGCAAGGAGCAGAAGTTTTAGGTTTTATACAGTAATTTCTGTGAGATGGACACAAAAAACTGAGATTTTCAGTTTGTGCAATCCCACTTGGCACTGCTGGAGGGATTCCCTAAGGGATGAGGTGTGCAAAGGAATTGCTGCTCCATCAGCTGACAAGGAGCAGAAGTTTTAGCTTTTACACAGTAATGTTTGTTTCCAATGTTTTACACAGTAAAATGTTTGTTGTTAATGTTTTACACAATATTTTTTGTTTCCATCTGTGAGATGGAAACAAAAACCACTGAGATTCTCGGTGATGAGGCAAATGAAGCAACAGGGGTCTCTCTTCCCAATAACAGCACAAGAGGAAATGACCTCAAGTTGTGCCAGGGAGGTTTAGATAGAAATTTCTCCCGATACTAATTTTCAAAAAGGTTGTCAAGCTCTGGACAGCCTGCTCAGGGCATAAACAGCCCTGGGGGGAGTTAAATGCCATGTAGATGTGGCATTTGGGGACCTGGTTTAGGGGTGGCTATGGCAGTGCTGGTTGGACTGGATCTTGGAGGGGTTTTCCCAATAAACAACTCCATGATTAAGGATCTCACTCACCAGGTTGATCGTCGGTGTCCAAAACTGCAACAGAAGAAGAGAGAGATTTGGTGAGAGAAGTGTTACCAGGCAGAGGCTGAAAACCCTGAGGGAGTTGCTAAACCAAAACTGCTTTTTGCTGATCACCATGGGAGGCTCAGCCTGGGCTCTGATCAGGACAGGTTCAACAGCTGACAAGAACCTTCTCTGATACTGAGCTTACAGAACTGCTAAAGCTTTCCAGAGATAAGGGATCCAAAGGATGTCTCAATTTTTAAGACAGCCTTGGAATGTGTGCAGAGTTTGGCTTTCCAGCGCTGCAGCAGCCCCTTGTGCCAGCTCCTCTGCTGTTACACAATCACCAAGGGATTGAACACAGATACAGAGTGAAAGAAGAGGATACCTTGCATCAAAAGCACAAGGAAATGAAAGAATGTAACCCCAAAACTGCTGGCTTAAATCCTGGATCATCCATAGAAGACAAAGCCTAGAGAGACGTGTTTAAGAAAACAACACTAATTTGGACAGCACTGAGAAACAAAGTATTAAAGTTTCTCTTGTAAGTAATTTACAAATATGTTTCTTTTTAAAGAAATCCCCTCCAAGTGCAAACTGGCACCTGGAAAATCAAGCCAGATATATTCTCCACACCTCTGTGTCCCCTCACAGCCACCTGTGCAGGCCCAGGAGCACTTGGTGGTAAGAGAGTGAAACCCCAGCTATCCCCAGCTGTGCAGCCCTGGGAGCCACTGCTCTGAGCACAGGCCCTGCATCTCCCAGCTGCTCCTTGGTGGCAGTTTCCTGCCTGGGCAGGGCATTTCCCTGCTGGCTCTGCCAGGTACCACGAGCCAAGAGATAAGAGCTCAGCAAATCCAGTCATGTACAGCCACACAGCTGTTGTGAGGGTGAGGCAGTGCCCAGCTGGATCTGTTGGGGACATGCCCAACACCAAGGGGGAAGGATGCACAACACAACACCAAGGGTGAAGGATGCTCAACACCAAGGGTGAAGGATGCACAACACCAAGGGTGAAGGATGCTCAACACCAAAGGTGAAGGATGCACAACACCAAGGGGGAAGGATGCACAACACCAAGGGGGAAGGATGCACAACACCAAGGGGGAAGGATGCACAACACCAAGGGGGAAGGATGCTCAACACCAAAGGTGAAGGATGCACAACACCAAGGGTGAAGGATGCACAACACCAAGGGTGAAGGATGCACAGCCCCTGTGCTGCTGCTGCAGGGCTTCCAGAACTCACTCCAAGGAGAGAGAGGAGTGGTGAGCAGAGCTCAGCTCCTTTCACTCTGTACAAAACATTCCCTCCTTCCTCCTCACTCTGCTGCACCAGAAATGTCAGCTAAGCTCTATTTCCTTCCACAGCTGTCCATGAAAAGGCAAAGCCTGGACAACAGGCCCATGTTTGCTGTCTCTCACCTAGATGCTGAAGGTCCTTCTCTCTGTAGAGGCGAGTGACCCTCTCCAGCAGCTCCCATTTCTCACAGCAGCCTTTGTAGTTGACGAAGTTGCGGGCGAGGATTTCCTTCAGCTGCCGCACCGAGAGCGCGTTGATGTCCCCGACGCTGCTCAGGTCAGACAGGGAGGCCTTCCTGCCCAGCACCAGGTTATCCTCGGAGTCACTGGACTGGGGGAGCACACAGGGAATCAGTCATGCCCTCAGCACCCTGAACTGGGATTAAAATCAACTGCCAGCATGTGTGCTAGCAGGGATTTGGGTTTGGATGTACAGAGAAGTGGCTACTCTGAATTCATCTACCAGAAACACAAATCTTGAGATAGAAGTTAATAATTCCTGCCATGGTGTCCAAGTGACACCAGTTCTTTCTGTGTGTGGAGGACAAGATGATGTCACAGAAGGGGTTGGTCATTCTCAGTGTTCATGTCTGCTAGCAAACCCAGCCCAGGTAAGCTGGTATTCCCTGCCATCAATCCCAGGACACACCAACCTCTATCTCATCCTCTGCTGCTGCTTCTTCTGCTGCATTCTCAGCTGGGCTTGGAGGCACGTGACCATTGGCCTGCAAGAGGAAACGAAGCTTTCACCAGCTGTGAGGGAAATCAACTCCAGGACAGGGTCCCTGCAGCCCCTGAGCTCTGGAAGGACACAGGCAGGACAAGGCACAAGCCAGGACACTCACAGAGGGTTTCCCCTGGCAGCACTCACACTAAGTAACTTTAAAGCCCCAGTACAAAACTCCAGGCTGGATCAGGAGGAGACCAAATTTATACACAAATTTGTAATTGTGTATGTGCAGTCCTTCCCTGAGGATCACACTGTGCTCTGGTGGGATGTCAGAGCTCTCAGTGCCAAGTTCTGCAGAACCCTTCTCTCACAGCTCAGATCTCACAGGAACCAGGCAAAATCTCCTCAGCTGGGGTCTGGAGTGGGCAGAGCCAGTGAGGGAGCAGCAGTGACAGGGCTGGAGGAGAAAGGCTGGGCAGTTCTTTGAACTCTTGATCAAATGAGCAGTGTAATTTCAGCTGACTCACCCCCAGCAGCCACTGCTCCCTCTGCTTTCCTACTGACAAAGAGGCTGTAATGTAACCGTCCCACTTATCCAAGTGGGGACTTGTTAATATTTACAGAGCCCAGGAATAACAATCAGGATCAAAGAGCCTGAACTGCAGCACCATGTCATGCAAGTCAGGACAAGAAGCTGAAATGGATCATGGGGCAGAGAGGGAAGAGAGCAGGGCTGGTAAAAACTGGAATGGCAATATCCAGAAAAACAGGGAATGAAAATGCCTTTTAATGATTTGTAAAAAACATTCTCCCAGGAGAACTCTTCTTTTGAACTAGATAAATCTGCTGAGGAAGCAGAAGGTACACACATTTTCACAGCTCTGGCCCACAGGAAACTGAATACACCCATTAACTTTGTAACAGGACAAGGAGCAGATGTCAAACACTGAGTCAACTTTCCTTTAGCAGAGAGCAGAAAAACAAACAAAGCAAGGTCAATAAAAAATAATTAAACTCAAATGCCCCTGCCGAGGTTCATCAGAACTGCAGGTTCATCATAAACCAAGACTTGGCAACAGACTCGGGGTTTGTCTTCCATTGATCTGAGTGCAGGAGACACCAAAATCCTCACCCAGCCCCCATCAGCTCTGATCAGCTCCTGCTTTAGCCTGTCCTTGTTATCTGGCACAGGAATTAAAGAACAGAATCACCAATTTAATTACACCTACAAACATGTGCCAGAAACCATCAAGTACCAAAGGAAGCAGTCACAGGAGCATCCTGTGGCAAAGGAAGTGTGGATCACAGCACCAGAGAAAACACATCCCAGAGCAGTGGTGATGTTCTGAGAGTGAATGCTCGAGATATTCAGCACTGCCCACCAAATTTAATTCCATAATGAACAGCACATCAAAGTCAGTGACAGCAAATCACAGCTTTACACAGCAAAAACCACATGCAACATCCTAGTAGCTAATCCAAAAATGGAGATGAATGAGTTTGCAAAAGATGGTTCTGGCCAGAGATTGTACCTGTTGGTGTTCCTGAGCTTCTGAACTTGAGATGGGATCTGCAGACACTGGGGACTCATCGTGTGAGGTAGGAGAGGCCAGGCTGGCTGGGGGGTGACTCACAAAGTCTTGCTGTTCACGGGCACTGGTATTAAATGTGTTTGTTCTTATCTGATCTTCCTGGGTAATTGCAGGCTGCTGGCCAAGGATCAGGAATACCAGGTCCTCCTTTTCACGACAGAACTCTGTGGAAATCTCATGGAGGGCCAAATAATCTCTCAGATCCTTCACCTTCATCTTGATCAGCTCCTCCCGCTGAAAAGCCGTGGCTCGGAAGCGCTGGCACAGGTGGCAGAGCAGGGGCCCACCCTCGGCCTGGTTTGAGCAGGACGTGCAAAAATTCTTCTTACAGTCCAAGCAGATGTGCTGGGAGAGAGAGGGGAAAAGTCAGAGCCAGCCCTGCCCTGTGCCAGCAGCACACGGTGCCACAGGCAGCAAGGAAGCAGCAGCTGCTCCTCAAGAACAATCAAACCTCCAATCCATGGAAACTGCCCAGTGGTCACCCATGTTCAAAGCACAATCAAAACCTCAATCCATGGAAACTGCCCAGTGGTCACCCAAGTTCCTGGAGGAGAAAAAGGGTTGATCCCTGAGCAATCACTGAGTCTTAGAGAAGCCCCTTTCCCACTCCATTTACCCAGAATGAAATGTGATATCCTGACAAGATTCCCTCACAGGACAGGAATTTTCTGCACCTGCTCATGCGGTTTAAGGCAGAGGAAATTGAGATTGAGGCAGCAGACTTGAGTGAATTCCAGCTAGTTGTGCACATTGTGAATTCCAGCTAGTTGTGCACATTGCTCTCTGCATTAAGCAGCTCCAACATTGAAGGAACTACTTAAAAACATCTCTTTCATAAATATCTGCTATAAATGATGTTCATCCCTCCTTTTTTCCCCCTCCAATTTGCTGCAATCACTGAATTAATCTTGGTTGCACCATAAGAGGAACAGGGAACAGCAAGGTCTCACAGACATCAAAAAAACTGACATTTGTTTACACAAAAATAGCTTATTTTGAAAACAATATGCACACTTTATATCAGTTTAGTGCTGGACAGAAAGTGTTGGAAGTTTTGGAAATGTTATGCCCCAGACAGTCAAAAACTTTACAGACTGAATTCTGTTGTTAAATGTTTATATTTGATACTGGTTCTCATCTTGTCACTCAGGGCTTGATTTTCAAAGTTCCAAGCACTCACAGTCCATGCTGACTTCTGCAGAACTTGACTGCTCAACCCTTTGGAAAGGCAAATTCTACATTTTCCAATAGGAATAGCAGCAGAACAGCCACATTATGTGCCTGTCAAAAAGTCCTGAGGGAAGAGAGAAGTGTTTTCAGTGCTGTTAAAATGCCAATTCACAGTCTCAGAGGAGCCAAGCACCTCTGTGGAATTCTGACATCCCCATCCTTCAGAGCTGTGCAAGGGAAAACACACAGGTGGAGTTGAAGTAATAAATACAAACTCAAGGACAAAAATCTGGTTTGTGAACTGCTCTAGTGATTGAAGAACATCTCTAACTTCCCAGCTGAAAGAAAGCTGATGTTTTACAGGTGTAAATACACTGCTTGCTCACAAAAGCTCTTTCTGATGCCCTTTTCAGGCTGAAACCCTCCCTGCTCCCCAGTTAACACTCCCAGGCCTCTCATTTAGAGCCTGTACTACACTCACAGTGACACTAACTGGAAAGAATCCCAATTTCCTGCTCAAGCATTTAAAGACTTTAACATTTCTACCACAGAGAGAAACTCTTGAAACTTTATCTCCAAACTGCTGTCTGGGGGCCTGCCAAGGAAAAGCAACTTTCCCCAATCACAAAGCAAGGCAGGAAGTGCAATTTCCACAGAACATCCAGCTTGGAGGAGTTTTCCTTAACTTCATCACCATAAAAAAATTAATATGTAATTGACTTCTTGTGACCCTGTGATTGCAGGAGCAATCCTGCTCCTTGGGGAATTTTTAGGGCAGAGACAGGAACTGATGGCTGTGTGTGCCCAGAGCAGGGGAACAAAACAAATCCACAAAGGCACACAAGTGGAAAATAACCCTGTGGTTACACTGCCCTGTGAATCCTCCATCTCTGACATGGCAGCCATCAGATGAAGTGAGATTTTAAAACCCCAACAACGCAAAAACTGCACAAAACAACCCAAAACCCTGAAGCAGCCCCGTTTTCTGTGGCAGGGGAAGCCTCCCCATGGCCTGCAGGCTCCAAAGGGAGCTCCTGGATTGCCAAGGACTTTCCACCAGCCAGGAAACCCCTTGAGCACTCCCACCTTGAGGTACCACCCAGCAAACACAGCACAAGGGCTCTCCTATCAAACATGTTCTTGCAATTAACAGTAATCCTGCCTCAGTTATCAAAGGATGCATTTGGGAAGTGAAAATAAACCCAGGCATGTCTCTGACTTAGCAGCTCAGCACTAGGATTTATCTTCAGAGACAGACAAAACCTCCCCAGCCTGTATCTGAGCAGCAAGTGTTTAAACATGGATATTTTGGCTACATCTCAGCATCAAGCAGCTCTTACACTTCACTGAAAGAGCATTAATTGAGGGCACTGTGTTCTTCAGAAGGATTAGTTTCAAATGTTGTTGCACATTAAAACTTTGCTAAAAGGTCAGGCCACATCTGCCTGCTGCTCACTGACAGCATGGTCAGACAGCCCTCAAATGCTTTATGTGGGGGAGTTTTGATGGTTTGTTGGTTTGGGGTTTTTTAAGCAATCTAGGCTATCCTTATGGCCACCAGTGCAGAAGGAATTAATTTTTATCCCCTGTATTTTAGAATAAACATGAACTGGTCACTGCAGTTCAAAGGTGCTGCTCTCCCAGGAGAGAATGCAATTTTCCATGCTGTCCAAGCAGCACTGTGAGATTTCACACACTGCTCCCTCCATAGCAACAGCACTGAGGAGTTCCCATGGCTCACAAACACACCAGGCTGTTCCAAGGGATGTTTTTATTCCCCCAGAGAGCTCAGGGGTGAGTCTGGCAGCCCCTTCTCAGCTGTTCCAGCACTCCCACCTGCAGCACAGCGCTCCAGTCACCCCCAGAGATCCCTGCTCAGGAGCTGGGCAGCAGGAAGGTGGGAGGAGGTTGGGGAGCTCCCTTTGGAATACAGAATATAAACCTCAATTTCCCTGACAGCCTGGAGCAGGAGCAGCTGGGCATGAGCACAGGTACAGACAGCAGATCCCACAGGAAAAGGGGGAAGCTGCTGAGGGCAGGAATGTTTTCAACAGCTTTAGCAGATCCTCCCCAGTTTGTGCATCAGAGCATTCCCTCCCCTGTCAGGGAGCTCAGCTGGAGCCACTGATGGCTCTGAACAAGACCCTGCTCTGAGGGCAGCTCACACAGAACAGGATTTTAGGGGATCCTGGGGCAAACAGGGCTGTGCTTGTGCTGCTGAGCTCACAGCTGCCTGAAATGGTTTCATTTCACAATTACCTTCATCCACTATTGGCAACCCAACAGCAAGTGCTGAGTCCAGGGTAACTCTCCACAAGGACATGTGGCTGAATGAGGACAATGTCAGAGACAAAATGACAGAGCCACGAGCAGGGAGGGCCCCACTGGAGCTGACCCAGCACCAGGAGCAGCCTCAGCTCACTCACACACCCAACACTTTATCACCAGGGCTTGATTCCTGAAGTAACTGCACTCCTCAGTGCAAAAATGCATCAACACCCTGCTGCCCTGGGAGCAGAAAGCAGCAGCTCTGCCAAGCCCCACCATTCCTCAGATGTGTGTCCTCATGCAGAAATAAAAATCAATTTATAAACTTTCCCATATAATCTAAAAGGGCTGTGGCCAGAATTCACCATTATTTTTAAATTCTCATATCCTTAAGTTCAGTAACTACAGATCAGACACTTCTTAAGCCACAGAGTGTGGACACAGAACAATTTTCCTCACTGGAGCATTTTCAAGCAGCATTAAAGGACCCACCATGACCAAATAATGCCCCAGGCAGGGTTTGCTGTCAAATTAAGTCTTGTGGTACCAATTATTTTGGCATTTATACACCCACAAATCAAGTTTACAAGAAAGATAAAATTGATCTGGGTTTGGTCTGGGGCTATTTTTGCTCAGCAGTTCTACACACACCCTCAAGAACTTCACTGGCTTTTAGTGTGAGCAACAATTGTTTGGAAAACAGATCTTCCTTTACTGAAAGCACAAACATTAATACACTTCTTCCCACAATATTTATTTTTAAAGGATATTAGTGCTTTTAAATAAGAAATTTCATAACTTATGCTCAAGTTAATGCTTCTTTAAGTGATTATCAGCAGTTTGGCTTTTTCATTGAGGAAATCTGCTGAAGGATTTCCAGTCACATTTGTCACTCTAGGACATGAAATAAAACAAAGTGGACACTGGACTGTCCAAGGTAAAAAAGAGGGAAAGTTTTATTCTGACTCCAACATTTACAGATTTCCAGAAGTGACAATGGATTGGAGGGTGACAGTGCCACCTCTCCAATGACACTGGACAAACCAACAGCCCAATAAATTTCTCCTCCTCCATAAAAGAATGCAAAACAAGGAGTTATTTACATAAAGTGTGTGAGAAAGTTCCTTACAAGAATGTAAACATCAGAAGGCTTAGAAAATCTTAAACTTAAACACATTAATTGTGAGAGAATGACTGAAGACCCAGCGCCAGGGTGAGCTGTCTCCTCCCACATGGGATGTGCAGAGGATTTGTGTGTAAGCTGTGTGTCTGTAGGTGAATGAAGGCAGGCTGAGCACTCACCTTGCTGGAGGAGCTGTCAAAGTGCAGCCCACAGGCTTTGCAGCTCTGCTCAGAGGCCGTGGGAGAGGGGAAGGAGCTGTAGCCAGGGTTGGAGTAGGCCTGGGCCCGGGCTGCCGGCGCCGGCTGCATCTCCTCAGGGGAGCCATCCACACAGAACCAGTTACAGCAGCTTGCCCACATAGTACCTGCCAGGAAAACACTGTCAGGGCTGGCACACAGCCTGGCAGCTCAGGGGACAGCAAAGCAGCAAGTGCAGGTCAGTGCCCAGCCCTGGGTCATTGTTAACAGCGTGTTTGTCAGTGTTGATCCTTCCTCTGACAAGAGCACACAAAACCCACACGCTCCGTCCAGCATGATGCAGCCTTGGTGAAAAGGGACAAATAAAGATCAAAAGAATTTTATTGCTGGAACTTTATAGAGTTAAGAGACTACAAAGAAGATAAGATAAATTTTATGTTCCACTTGGCTATATCAGATTCTGAGTTTGCTCTAACAGGCAGTTTCTGTTTCACATAAGCTGCAATACAGGATGTAAAAATACATCAGGAAAAAAACACAAAAGCTCAAATTATATAGCACAGAACAGTTAAATAAAATCAGCAGCAGGATGGCTATTCCTCAGCTCTGTCCTAAATCCCTCTACAGATTTACAGCTACAAACCCAAAAAGATAAAATAAAAGCAAGGACAAACAAGCCACTGATTGCACACAGTGCAGTTCTAGGCTGAATTTACAGCATTACAAATCTGAACCATCACACAGCAGCTCAATGCCAGTAATGCAAGAAAATCAAATACTGGCTTTGGTAACTTGCTTGGGAAAACAACTGCAGCTGAAACACAAAATTATTTGGGTTTTTTTCCAAGTCAAATTTTATATGTAAAATATACACACATACACACACACACTTACCAAAAATCCTAACACAGTCCAGTGCAAAATGCTCAGTTCCAAAGTCTTCTCAGACCACCTCTGCTGCAATATTCCAGAAATACACTGCTACAAACTTGCTTTTGGGAGTTTACAAAGAAATCTGAATTCATCTGGGCATTCAGTTTCTGGAGCACACACCATGTGTCATCACTTAGGGCTAAACTGAATACAAATTGCCTCCTCTGCATTTCTGCTCTCACATGGGAGTTCCTGAACTGTTTCTTTTATGTCTTAAAAATCAGCTCCCTCACTGATAGTGCTCAGCAACTGCTTGATTTTATAAACTTCTGGAAATAAAACATCTCTCAGCTGCACAGCCAATTCACTGCTTGTTACTCAGTAAGTATTGTCACTGTGAAACTCCAGATTCCCAGGGGAATGGGGCTGGGAAGGCGAATCCTAAAGGTTATTGGGTATAATAATTCTTTTTTTAAGCTGTGCTGAAACTTTGGGGCTGATGTACTTGAATTGGGAAGCTTTTGCACTCTGTTCCAGTAGGTGTTGCTTCAGTGGCATCTTGGATCCTTTCAGAACCTGGCTGAACGTGGCTGCTCAGAGTCCCTGCTGTCCTGCAGAGCTGCTTTTCAAAGCCCACAGTGTGAGCTGAGCCAGGAGCCCTCCCTGCAGGCTCAGCACATTGCAGAGTTTAAATCTAAATCTCCACATTCACACCATGGATTCGTGGTGGGGCTGATTGCTCGTTGCTGCACTGGAAATGACACCAGGTCTCAATAAATAGTGTGGATTGCACTTAGGCTGGCAAGGAGATCCCAATAAATACACAGAGGAAAGCACTGCACCAACAGAAATCATCTATCATTCATCTCCATTAGCTTTGCCCTGCAATCAAACACACACTTCAGATGGCACAGATAAAAGAAACAATTTCCCTTTTTCTCTCTGAATGTTAATTTCCAGCTCTCTGTCCCACTCAGAAGTTAACAGAGCCTTTCTTCTGCAAAAATACAGAATTTCTACTTGAAATCACATTCTTTGGGAGGTTTAATTTGTTCTGAGGAATCACAAATCTAAACAACATGAAAGCTGCACAGTCCAACAAGCATTCAGAGCCTCCAGAGCAGGGGAAAACTCATCCAGAGTTCAGCTCCCTTCCTGTTTCAAGGACCCCTGCAAGCTGAAGGCCACCCACGATAACAGAATACACAAATGCTACTGCCTGCCCCCAAAAACTTTGTTTTCCTAGAAAAAGACAGCCTACTAATTCACTCTGGAACATTGCAACATGTCAAACATTGGGAAGAAAAACACAAGGCAGTGCACAAACTGGGATAAAATAAGACAGAGCTCAGCATTCAGCTGGGGTTGTAGCTCTGGGATTGCCAGGAATGAAAAGGCCAACAAAAAGCTCAGATGTTGCTTTAGAAGAACCTTAATCCTGTTCAACTGCAAAAGCATAAAGGGAAATGCCCATAAACAAACAACTGAACAACCAGGACTGTCCTCTGATCCATAACATTTTTCCAAAGGTATAAAAAGGAGCACAGATGTAAAACACCTCTGTAGCTGCCTACAGCAGCAAGAAATACAGGTAAGATTCAGCAGATTTTCCATTGTTCTGGACAGGATCAGCTTTAGAGCCAAGGAAAGGAGCACTGCCACTGATAGAGAACTCCAAGTTACAAACAAAATGCCTCAGTGGAATTTCAGGCTGATAATTTCAGTCATAACTCTTACAATGTTTGCTACAGAAAAATTATTCCCTTATTTATTCTCTTACCCATCTGGAGGTACGTGGTCAGCACAGCCCAGGAACTGCTCATTTCCCCAAGGGATGGATGGATGGATGGATGGATCAGATCTGGCAGTCTGAAGGTCAGAATCAGAGAGTCCTGCCCTGCCTAAATCCTGTGAATTCCCTGCAAAGGAGCTGCTGTTCTGCACCCAAGGAGCTCCACAGCTACACCAAAGTGACAAATTAATGCCCAGACAAAAGAGCACCCAGTGGAAAGAGCTACTTGTGTGTGTTGTGCTTCAGGGTTGGGAAAATACTTCCAGCAACTTGGCTAATAACAGTGTGACAGCTTGGAAAACTTAATGACAACATGGATTTCAAGAACATCTTGAATAAAAGATGTGGATTTACTGGCACAGCTGACATTACAGGCACTACTGATAGCAGCATTACCCTTGGACAAGGTGCCTGCACTGCCTCATGGAGCCACAGAAACAACTGCTTGAGCTGGCTTTGGCAAACTGGAAGCTCCATGGCAGGCACCCAACAGCGACTGCTGGCAGCCAAAAACCACCTGCCCTAAATGCTGAGTGCACCTTGTGCTTGGAGCATCTGCCAGGGCAAAGGCAGAGGGAGTTTCACCAAGGGTGGAGACAGCAGATCAAACAGTCTGTGCTGGACCTGCAAACACATCCACCCACGTGGCAGTCAGCACCCTGGGAAGGGGCTGTTTCATCTTCTTTCCTCAGTTGCTTCAAGGAAAGCCAGAAGAAATCCAGTAAATGACAGGGAGGCGCTTCCCATGGACAAAGTGGTGCCAGCACTCCACCATGATCTGCTGGACTGCTTTTATTGATTTGATTTTTTTTTTATATATGCCATGAGTCTCTTGACTGGATTTAAACAACAGAGTGAAATTCATTTCATCGCAAGTTCATTAACATGTTCTACACAATGCCAAGAGTTCTGTATTAATTTAATTCTGAAGGAAATACCAGTGATGCCAAAGTTTTCCTCCCATACATAGTTGAAGACTATGTTGAAATCATGAAGACATAGTTGAATTCATAATGCAGGTCTGGATTCTAATACTTTCCATCTTCATTTTAAGAAGTGTTTGAACTCAGGCTCTCACTCCATATGCAAAATCACTGCCCTAACCTTGCTAGCTGGAGTATCAGGGATCACAGCCTCCACACAGGAGTTATTACACAATTATTACATGCATGTGTAAGAAATGGATTTCATCAAAGGCTGGGCTGAGGCTGCAGAGGGAAACTGTGGTTTATGTTTGAATATAAAATCTGCCTTTATTTTCCTAAGGGTACAAACAACAAGGGACTAGAGCAAGCCAAGGAACATCTCAGAATCAATGAGCTTCCAGCTCTGTATAATAAAGCTCTCAAGGACTGGGCCCGGCTCCTTGTCGTGACTGCTCAGGAATTCAGCAGCTGGAATGCAGCAGCACCAAGGAGACACTTCCATCAAGGGATCAAAAGCAACTGAGCTCCCAGGAGCAGCTGATTCCACTCCCACACAAGAAGAAACCACAGCAGCAAGTAGTTCTGCTCCTGAGAGGCCTTTACCCACTGGAACAGCAGGGCTGATGACCCCTGAGGCCGCTGCAGATGGAGCTGGGTGCCAAAAAGGGAGGGAGATGCAAGAGAGCAGCTCTGCCAGGGCCAGCTTCCCTGCAGGGCTGTTTGCTCAGCAGCCCCACAGCTCCTCTGCTCACCCCAATGAGCTCCCTGAACCACCCATGTTGTAGACCCTGGTTGGGCATCTCAACCGAAGATTTAGCCCCTCTTTTCAATTTGTTGAAAGGGGGAGAGGAGCTTAGTTCTCCTAGGACTCTTACCCCAGAGGCACAGGTAGCTCTGGAGAAAATACAAAAGGATATTTCGGCCAGGCAGGCCCACCGATACCATCCGGGCCTGCCTTTCAAATTTATTATACTGGGAAAATTGCCACACCTTCATGGCATAATACATCAATGGGATGTTAGTCTGAAGGACCAAGGATTAGGAGACAAGCTCTTAATTATAGAGTGGGTCTTTCTGAGCCACCATAGGTCCAAAAGAATGACACGGCCACAGGAGTTGATAGCAGAACTGATTCTCAAAGCAAGATCGAGGATCAGAGAGCTTGCAGGCTGTGATTTCTCATGCATACAGATCCCAATTAAATTGGAATCGGGCCAATTTAAACTAAAAAACTTTGAAGAACTGCTGCAAACTAATGAATACCTTCAGTTTGCACTCGACAGCTACACTGGGCACATCACAGTAAATCGGCCGTCCCACAAATTATTCAATTCGGGGTTTAAATTCTCGTTGAAAAAGGTTCAGAGTAAGAAGTCCTGAGAAAGGGAGAAACCATTTAATACAGAAAATGGGGGGAGCAAACTAACAAACTTAAGAACACACCACAGCACACCCAGCTCCTCTCTGCCCTCACCCATCCTCCTTTCCTTCCCATCCAGAACCTTCTGCAGCCTCCAGGACCTGCAGGAGCAGCTGCAGATGCTCCACACCAACACAGACCCTGTGTCCTTGTCATGCCTGTGGCCCCATGACAATATATTCTCCCTGGTGTCTGCTGTGAGATGTGACCAGGAGTAGAGCAAAGCAGGCTCCAACTTAGGAGTAAAGGCCAAAAAAAACTTCATTAACCTACAACTATAGAAAAGAAATACACAGAACTCAGAATGAAAACCTCCCAAAAAATTCACTTCCTTTTCAAACCAGAACACTCCTCCACAACACCAGTGAGACAATTTCAACACCACACACCAACCTGGGATAATGCTGAGCACAAATTCATTTGTTCCTGCTACTTCTAGTAGCTTGCAGATCAAGGAAATTGTTCAGGAGGCCAGAAATGGCAGTGTGGCTTTAAAACACTAATGTATTGATAGGTCTCTTTTAAAATTACTATTTTTGTTATTAATCCCTGCAAAATGGATCAGATCTCACTTTGATGAGTGCTGTTTTAAGTATTTAATGAGTTAACCACCTTGGCCCCATTAATAGTGTTGCACAATTGCTCATTGTTACAATTTACTACTTTTTTTTTATTTCAACAAACCTGCACTGATAAGAAATGCCTTGCTAAAATTAGTTTCACTAATGACCTCCCACTTCCAAACTGAATTCATAGTAAGGTCAAAAAAACAGTATTTGCTTGATAACAGACCTATAGAATAATCTGCTCAAATGCCACTTATGCACAAAGCATTATTTTTATCAGCCTTTGTTCCAGGCACAGACCTGAATTATGATAAATGGGAGCAGCCATATGTTGGGACAGCTGGAAAAGTCAGCAAATGAGGCACTTGCAGAGGGGACAAGGGAAGGAAGCAGGCTGCCAGTCTGAGCATGACATTTGCAGACGTGGTGTCTCAATCAGAGCAGGAGAAAAGGAAGAGATTGGACACAAATCTGTCATAAGGAATGTACATCTAATTTACTGTATAAAATAACTGGACTGAGACTGTCAGATTTTTATGTAGGGATAGGAAAAATGTTTATGAGTAAAGGTACTACTTTACATTCCCAAGGTGACAGCATGCACACCTTGAAAAAATGAGTAAATAAATACCAGCACTGGATCACAACTGAGGTGGGGGAGACACAAGAAATTGTGTCATGGAAGGAAGAAACACTTTTCCATTTTGTGCTGTGCCTTCCAAAAGCCTGGAGACATTTCCCATCTATAATCATCTAAATATGCAACAAAGACAAATATTTAATTGCTCACCAGTCTGATCAGCAACTCTGATGTCAGTTTAGAACTCTTCAGGTGAGACCTTGGTCAGGTACAAAGGCAGAGAGCTCAGGTCAGTGCACACAGAACAGGGAGTCCAGGATTTCTGTCCCTTTGGCTGGGATCCTGTGCATCCAGGAGTGCACATCAGGGGGTGCCCTTGAACAGCACCCACACCCTCATGTCCAGAGGCTGCCCAGAGCAGGCTGGCACTGGCACCCCATTCCAGACGCTGCTACACCTTCCCCACGCAGTCCCTGGCTGGAATTGGAGGCACAGCCCGTGCCCAGCAGCAACAATCCATCTTCAGCCCCTCCTCAGCACAGCTGCACCTGTGCCCTGCACCCTGGAGATGCTCCCAAAGCCTCCTGTGAGTGTGGGCTCAGCAGATCCCGAGCGTGGCACAGCCCAGGGGAAGGGACCTGGCCACGCACCAGCATTTCAATGAAGGAAGTGACATCCATTGAGCAGAGAGTAAACAGGGCAGCCTGCTGGGGCAGGGTGCAAGGCAGAGCAGGAAAAAGCTGGAATGGGGCCACACAGCTCTGCTGAAACGCCTTCAGCTGCTGCTGAGCCCAGAGAAGCACCAAAAATCACCTCCCACTTGTGTGGCACAGAGGAAACCATGGTGCAGACAAAGCCCCTTCTATGCTGCTCTAACCTGGTTTACATTTGCCAGGTAAGCCCTTGGAAAATTGGCTTAGCTGAGAGGAAAATTATGAGTTCTTATTACAAAAATCCAGCAGGTATTCCAAGAGCATTTTGCAGCTGTAGCAGAGCTTATCAGCACTACCAGCAACAGCTGATGGTGTTCAGGAGGTCTGCACACAGATCTCCACCTGGAATCCCACCAGCACTGTTACAAGCACAAAGATCTCAGTTTCAAGCAGCTCTTTGAAACCAGAGAGCTGCAATTGCCATTTGAAATGGAGAAAATGGTTTTAGAAAGCTGTGGGATTCATAGAGCAATGAGAGAGAGCTAATTCCAAAACAGACACTTTCTCACTTGACTCCCAGCTTTGCACCTGGAATTGCAAACTCAACTCTCACCCACTTTCCCTCTCCTCTGTGGCACAACACCAAATTTCCCCCATTTTACCATGATAAGCTTGGAAATCCTGTTTTGTAAGGAACTAGATACCTGGGTGAGTATTATTTTAATATAAACTGTTTATTTTGACCCAAAGTTTCATTTTATATATTGAAAAATATTTAGATAAAAATTTCTTTTTGCTATTAACTGTAATTATGTCCTGAGACATCTGCCAAGATGGAAAGTCAACTGCCTTTTTCTTGTGCAAGTCAGTGACATTCTCCCAGCAAGTTAACAGAAACCAAAACAAAGTCATTAATGAAATCATTATGGATTTCTAAAAATAATAATTTAGAAATTTTTTTTTTTTTTTGCCCAGTCTACCTCAATTCCATAGTCCCATACCTGTTCTCAAGGGACATACTGTGACCTTGGGCTTATCTCCTTCCACTCTCCTCTTATGCTGAACAACAATTCCAAAAGTTGCTGTGCTCCTTCCCACTGGTTTGATATTCATCAGCAAGGCTGAATTAAGTCAGTTGTAATTACAGCATGACCCAAGTGAGGAGGAGAAGCAAGGACACTCTGGAGAAGCAAGATTCCAGAGTGCTGCTCTGTTACCATTCCCAGCATCCTGCATGGCTGGATGTGGCTCTATCCTTGTTCTCACACCCAAAAGTGTCACTGAAAGTGGAAGCTTTCCACCAAAATGTCAACAAGGAGCAGTCCAGGAATCCTGGACTATCCCCTCTCAACTCAACCAGTGCTTTTCATCTGGAGAAAAAGCTCCATGCTGGATTTTTCTCTCTCTGTTCATTCCTATCCTCACAGGTTTTCCTGGATTCAGCTGCATGGGTCACTGCTAAAACTGTAATTCCAATAGACAGCAATAAATTCTCCATGAAAACCTGAACATTTCAATAACTGTGCAGCTTCCCTAACCAGCCCTACTCCAGAAAGGGTCCATCCCATCCAGATTTCATCTCAAAACCCACCTCAACCACTCTTCCATGACAGCTGGGGAGGTTTCCTGGATCTGTGCCCACCTGGAAGCCACAAAGAGGCTCCAAAGGCACAGCAGGAGCTTTTCAGGGACTCTTCCTCCTCCTCCTCCTCCTCCTCCTCTCACACCACAAATACCTCCCTCTCTCAGCACATTTTACAATGCCCAGAATAGAAACTTGCTGAAAATAAGTTTCTGCTGTGCTGCAAAAACACTGCTGTGGACCCAGTGACTTCAGTGCAAACAAACAGGAGCAGCTCCACAGCTGAAGCAGGGAGCAGCCTGGAGTCCCCTCTGCTGGAAGGTGATTTCACATGGGACAAGGTAACCACTGGCAGGAGGTTTAATGATATCCTTCTCCTAAATGGGGGAATTCAGGGAGCTGGAGAAAAAAAGGGGAGGGGAAAGGATATAAATTTGTATTTTCATCACATCTCAAGTTCCTTACTTCAGGTAAAAAGAGATCAAGCTATTCCCATTGGAATCCCTGGCACAATTACATTTTGTTTCATTATGACAACTGCATAAATGACATATTCACCAACAGTTCAGCTTTGGAATGAAGCACAAGGATATGGGGGAGTTTGAAAGGAGAAGAGAGAGGTGCATCATCCCAGATACAGCTCCTCAAATTTGGGGTAATTACAGTAAATTTCTCTGAAACTGGGATTACAACTGGCCCTAAAGCTCCACAGAGCTGTCACTGTGTCTCAGGCACCCAAAATTCTGAGTGTTTGCTGATAAATTACAACATCAGTTGGAAATCCTGGAAATTACTTGTCATGCCAAGCTATGGGTTTATTTTTAACCAGTAAACTTCAGTAAATTTCACCCCTCCAAAATCAAAATATAGTGTCCAAACTCCTCACATGCCAAATCTACTCTTCTCCCCACCTTATTCCAGATTCCTAATTCAAATCTTTTTGTACATTCTGGTAGAAAAGAAACCAATACCCCATGGAATTTATACAAGTGGAAAAGTGTACGTGCAGTAGGAGTGGATGCACCACAGCTCTGCACAGACTGGCAGGCAACCTCTAACCTATTTAACTGGAGCCTGAAAAAAGAGAATTTTTATTTGGCTGGACTGAAACAGATCTGGATGTATATAACTGAGGCACATCATAACAAGTACAAACACTGCAGACTCATTTCATAGCTATGCCTATTCCAAATTCATCTGAATTCAAATCCAAACTAGGTGCTGAAATAGAAGAAAATGCAGCTGCAGATCTCCTTCAGCACACACGTACACAGAGCAGCTCACACGTCACATCTGACACACACTGTGGGAAGTTCTGCCCTCCCAGGCTGCAGAAATACTTAGAAATTAGTCAGCAGTTAAAAAAAGGTCCAGGATGTTGAGTACAAACCTGAGGACTGGTTTTGTTCCTGAGATAACAAAAGACAGCACAATAAAAAAGTGAGTTTGTTTATGGTTTAGTCACCTTATCTGTGGACAAGGGAAAACACCTCACTCTCATGTAAAGGAAGTTAATACAGGTGGAACTTTGAGAGGGACTTTGAAGTTGTACTCTTAAAGCATTTCCATAAATATTATTCCTGTGCCAATCTCCATTTAGCACGGAAGCATTTGAAATTCAGAATTGCTTGCATGCAGCCCAGGAGAAGAGCCTGAAAACTGAGGGAAAGTTCAAACCTCAGCACCCAGTGTGTGCCAGCAGGACAAACATGAACTCTCCACAGCATTCATGGGACAGATGTTGTGGAAAAGTCCATTTCCAGCCATCTGCAGGGTTTGTTTCTAGGGCTGGAAGGTTCTGCATGGGCTCCTTCACCACCATCCTTGTTTGACTGCTGTGCCTCTCCCTCCAGCCTCAACCTCTGCACAACATTAAGGACTGAGAAATGCAAAACAAAGCAGCCTGAAACCTGGCCTTTATTCAAACAGAAACATGAACAAACCCAACAGCCATCTGGTCCCATGGTTTTGGTTGCTGAGTTGAGGGGCACATCCTGAGGAGATTCTGCAAGAGCTCACAAACCATTCAAGTAAACATTTGTCTCTGGGAACTGAAGCCATGATCCAAAAAAAGGCAGTTCTGCTTTACTGCCACATCTCTATGCATCAGTTATGGCAGAACATTTGTTGGAGATTTTTTCAGGGATGGCCTAGAAGGCAGCTGTGAGGAGCAGGTTCTCACAGCCTGCTTCTGTAAACAGCAGAGGTTCTCAGGTTATTTTTAATGACAGGTAAAAGTGACAAACATGAAGGCCTTGAGAACCTTGCACATCAGAGTTCTCAGGCAGCTTTCTCATAACAAGTGGATGTTCTATCTTTGGCTGTTTTGGGAAAGCAAAAATAATTTTGAGAACCCAAATCTTGGTATTGGAAACATAAGGTGGAGTTGGTGTGTTATCTCTGGCCTATTGTGAGCTCAGATTTTGCAATATGCATGAAGTGAATTAACACTGTTATAAAACGTGACTGATTGATGAATAAAGTGGAGTCGATGCTGACCAACGCAAAGTGGGTCGTCTCCCTCCAACTTCAATATATGGTGAACTTCAATAAACATTTAAGTTATTTAATCCTTTTTTAAGCCTTTTAATCAGCTGTGTGCAGCACCAAGAGAGGCAGGAGGGGCCCTCTGGGATGGCAGAGCTCACCCAAACCCACCCAATTCATGGGGGCAAACACAAAGTGCTGAACGTGGAAGCCCAGTGGGACCCAACCCAGAGAATGGAATTTCACAGAAAGCTGAGAGCACAGCAGGAAAGGAAAGCTTCAGCCTGGAATCTCCTGGATTCCCCACCTGTGGCACACAGGGCACATCTCCCATACATGGCCCAAGGCAGCAGGGTCACATTTCAGAGCAGGCTCTGCCAAGGCCAGACATTCAGACATCGTGAGTCAGTGCTCCAGAAATCACTGGAGTTTAGAAACCAATAAATCCACTCAGTTCTGGTTGGGTTTTTAAATTCACCTTCCCTTGGGGTTTTTTCTTCAACCTTTGCAGCACACAGGCACCATCACATTTTCATTTTGCTCCTCTGTAACAGCAGGAGCATTTCTTTCCATTCTGGGGGTTTTTTGCTTTGTAAAATGACAGATAAGATTTTCATATTAGATTAAATCCTGGGGGCATGGAGAATAAAACCAGACCAACTATCATGGAGGCTGGGAACATATTATGTCCTTTCACACAGCCCTCTAACAACACAGAATACTTGTTCTTTAAATAAAACCTCAAAATATCTTCACTTCTGTCCTCAGATCCCAAACAAACAACAATTTATCTGACATTTCAGCACAGCCAGACAGGATTGCTGCCAGTAAGAAGTTCCCTATGACACAATCTTTTCCACCACTGACCTGATAACATCAGCATGACCTTTCTTCTCTTTTAAACTCTACTTTCCTCAGTTCAATAGTTCAGCAGAAACTGACCCATTTTTGATTGCACAAACAAAATCAGATACCACACATTCCTATTTAAAAAAAAAATTAAACTCCAGACTCCAAAAAATATCATTGGGTAGTTATTTGTAGA